ATGGCGATTCTGGTGACAACGACAATATCATTGCTTCTGCTGCCGGTCCCTTTGATGGCGATTCTGGCGAGATTGGCGGCATCATCAGTCATGACAACACCAACAACACCAGTAGCGTTATTGTTGGTGTGATCTCACGACCGTGTGTTGATGAAAGAGGCAGCAACAACAACAATAGCAACAACAACAACAATAACGATGACAACAACAACAGCAACAACGTCAACAACAACAACAACAACGGTATCGCAGAGGCCGCCAGTTTTGGTAATGGTGATTTTGACACTGGGGAGATCGGTGGTACCATCAGCGACAACAACGATAACAATACTGATGACGGCAATGACAATAATAACAGCAAGTACAACAATAGCAATTACAACAATAACAACAACGACCGAATCATCAACAGGGCGACTGGCGAAATCGACATCAACAATAACGCGGCGAGTGCGCCAGGGAACGGGCGACGGCTCTTTTCTCCTCTTGCCCCTTCTCTTCTCTGTTCTAGCCGCCGCTTGTTGAATGGGGGGTGTGGGAAGGCGCACTGCGGTGGCGAGGAGGAGTGGGGTAGGGATAGGACTTCCAGTTGGTTTTTGTCGACAGGTAATATTGTCATATCTGCGCCTGTCTTCTTTCAATCGACATTTGCCCATTATGTATTTTGATGGGCACACCAATCACAATGATCACAAGTATCTGCCATGTGGGGGGCCGAGGGGGGGGGGGAGGAGAGTTGCTGTTGCATATGTCACTAGGGTTTGTTGGTTGCTCCTGCGGCGTGTCGTTTGTCCCGGCCACGTGGTGATGGCGGAATCTGACTTTTTGCTGCTCTTTCATCCTCCTATAATTTTGTTTTCTCTCTTTGAATTGGTGCTCTCCCCACTTGAGTGGGTTTTGTTAATTACTGTTATAGGGGAGACACATGCGCAGGCAACAGTGGGTAGAAAATTGCAGAAGTAGAAACCAAACCTTGTCCAGTTCTTTCCCCTTCTTACTGTATCAGTATAGTAGTTGAATAAGGCAGGGTAAGGGTCCTAGGGTTTGATGGGCAGTCAATCCCCTCGCTCTATGGCAATCAATGCTGCCCGTCACCGCATGCCAACTGTTCAAACATTCGATTACAAATGATCTGGGAGTCTGGGACACTGGACCCGCTTTCCAGCAGGTGTTGCTCCCCACCAATAGATGGAGCCCTCCCGAGACTGCTAGTGGTGTCTGCTCCTATCAGCACCCCTAGCATCATCTTGGGTCGTTTT